GTTCAAGATGCTTTACAGTAAATTAGAGATGACCTTATCACAGACAGCGCTTCCAGGGGGTGGGTGCTGGTGAATGCGAAATTAAGTTCCGTGAATAATTCTAGGCTCACAGGGCACTTTTTCCTACTGTTCTTTTTCCGTGAGTCTCTATTTGATTCTTACGCATTGTGAGGAACTAAAAATAAAAGGCTTCCTAAATTTTTCTTATAAATTTATTAAGACTTTATAAGATTTGAGATTTTCTGCTTTACCTAGTGACAATTCAGGTGAACTGGAAAGTCAGGTCATTATCTCAGAGTCACAGAACGCTGCCTTCAAATTCCTCCCTGGTAGGAAAATTTTGGAGCACTGTGTAAAAATGATTATTTTAAGACCTGTAATCTTCACCTATAAAATCAAACAAAACTATCTGTGGCTTAAAATTTTTCAATAACTACAAAGTCGCAATACAATAATGTGTGTGTTTGGATTTTTTCATAACTGCCATATCACAAATGATAACTGGAGAATAAGGAGAACATGGGCTCTCTTCCATTAGCTTGATGTTCAGTCCCTGCTAACACAGTACAGACACTGTTTTGTTTCTCTAGATCCAGCAGTGGTTCTCAATCTTCTTTATGTTGCGACCCTTTAACACAGTTCTTTGCGTTGTGGTGACCTCCAAACATAAAATTATTTCATTGCTACTTCATGGCTGTAGTTTTACTACTGTTGGGACTCATAATGTAAAATCTGCAGGGTGGGGGCTCCATGCTCGTGGGGTCACAACCCACAGGTTGAGGACCTCACTTAAGAAGCATCACATAAAACACTCTGGTAACCACCCCAAGACAAGGGAGGAGCAAGAGGCAAGTCTGAGCCCAGGCCTGCTTTCTGACATACAAGTTCTGTGCTTTCTAAACTGTTCCCAAAGAGCTTCAAGTTTCACAACAAATTGAAAATGATGAAATCTATAGGACTTAAAAACATTTTAGTATTGAGTAAAAGTAGTGAGTATTTCTGTTTTAAATACAATTTTTTATGTTTTCAAGGTGTAGAAAATGTGTGTAAAAAAACCATGGCACCATATGGCAATCTACAAAAACTCACATTGTATTCATGGTATCCTCTTGTATATTTGTAATGCAGGAAGTGAGATAAACACAAACATTTTCCTCTCTGCCGCCTTTTTCTGGTGTTAGAGATGCCATCTTCTGGTACCCGTGATCACGCTATCCCATGGCATGATGTTACTGGACATAACGAACATGTAAAATGAGTATTTTATTTTATCTTTGAAATATGAGCCTCAATAGATAGACACTTAAAATGTAATAAAGCTTGCATTTGGAAAATGGACCATAAAAATGATTTCCCAGATTTCTTGTGTGAGTGTGGCAGTGGTGATGCTGGGAAGCACTAAGCTAAATGGCCCCCCACTGAAGGATAAATGCCTAACTCAGCTGAGAGAGTTCACAGAACGTAACATCAGGGCAGGGACGCAGCAGTTTTTCTCAGAGGAGGAAGACAGTTACACAGCCATCACCATCTCTCCAAACTAATTTATATCTACTTTAGTGAGCAGTAGAAACCAACGGAAATCTTTCACTCTCCAGTCAAAATTGTGAGCACGCTCTTTGAGGGAAACAAATGAACCGGAAATGCAAACCAGAAGCTAACGGGCACTGCATCATGGAATACTCGTTATCTGCGTGCTCCAAATTGCGTTTCTGACTGGGCATTTTAATTTAAAAGGACAATGAACTGAACGTTTGTTTAGGTTTGAGCATTTGGGCAAGGGTGAGGGGACTTTCCGCCCAGTGGGCATGCTCTGTAGCAATGGGGTTGTGTTGCTGCGTAGATCAGCACGCTTTTAGCTCAGCCTAATCAGATTTCCAATGCATTTCGCTCACATTTATAGTCCTCTGAAACAGTTAGTGGGGGGCTTCATGGAGCCTCCCTGTAATGAGAGCAAGCTGACTTAATGAAAATCTTGGCTTTTAGCTACTATAATTTTAAAATGAATAGCAATAATTTCTTAATATTCAACTTATTCAATTTAAGTTCCATTACCTATTCAAAGACCTAGGAATTAGTGTTAAGAGTTAATCTGGCAATAAACTGAATAGCGTACAGAAAGAAAATGAATGCTTCTCACTGTGGACTAATAAAAACAGATACAAAGTGAGGCAGATACAGCCTGCTATGTCCTTTCTTATTAAGCTTCAGCAATTCTTCTCTTACATCAACATAATTTTTGATAGGAATATAATACAACTTTTAAGTGATCCATGAAATAGGATCTTGTGAAAGTAATGGAGTCAGCTGCCTTTCCTTGTGGTTAGCCCTTCTTTCGCTTTTAAAGGTAATGCACTTGTTGAGCTGTTCTCATTGACCAGAATGGAAACTTAGCTGTAAAACTATATCTTTTCACTTATTCTTTTAATCATGAGCATGATTTGTGCACGTTTTAGGGAGATGTTCTGGTACAGTTGCCCAGCCCTTAAACATCTTTTTGTTGTCAGAAATTTGAGTTTCTTCTAATCCTTCCTTCCTCCCTCCCTCCCTCTCTCCCTCGCTCCTTCCTTTCTTCCTTCTTTCTTTATCCCCTCATTGTTTCTTCTTGCCCTTTCAATAAGCCAAGCCCAATCATAGTCTATAAGAATTCAGGGGTAATAGGCAAGAGCTACCCTTCCCTGAAGCATCTGTTCTGGTGCGGAGGATAGTTACAGGGAACAGATGAAAAATATTCACATAGGATGGTCAGATGCTGGAAAATGCTATAAATAAGACAAACGGGAAAGGAACTGGAGGATGGCTGTGTAGGAAGGGCTGCCCTGCCCAAGTAGAATCAGAGTCTGTCAGAGTCTGTGGGTGGCACTCACAGGAACAGAGCAAAAAGTAGCACTTAGTGAAGAAGGTTAATATGCCAGGACAGATTGTTTTCTCAAAGCATTTCCTAAGAAGGGAATAGAAAAAAATGGGATGATGATTTGAAGAAAAATATTTGACGAAATATTTTCCTCTTCCCTTTATATCTCCTCCTTCCCTCTCTTCTTTTCTTCTCCACTCTTCTCATTTCTTTCTTTAGTTGTGGTAGAAAATAATAAAGAAATTGATTTTTTATAGAGACTATCGTGAGTGTGTTGATGAGGGATAATGTGTGATTCCGGAAACAAATGTGTTTAAGGAAACTGGAGGTGTACCATTAGCACACTGCATGAATGGGAATGTTGAGAAAAGTGTGGCCAGCTCTGTTCTGTCCGTTCAGGGCTCAAATGTGTTTTGAGGCCTGGGCTTTTCTCCAGCTGACAAAACAGGAACTTCTATGGGGGAAGGAGGTCTTCCTCTCCACAATATAGCAAAGTTGGAATAGGGTTTGAGAACGAGACGTAGGTGCAGGCTGTGGTATACAGAAAATGACGTTGGTCACTGTGGGGGAAGAATCAAGTTACTGGAGAGTAATATTGCCCAGTGTACTGCATGCCATTCAGACGTAGGCTGTTAATGTACTGTCCCTATATCAGGTATGGAAGTGAATTATCACACAGTGGGGGCTCCCTCCTGGACCGCGTTTTCGGGACAAACCACATCCAAACACCAAACACCAATACCTGTTTTCAAACACCAATTCTTTATGAAATGGGGAAGAAAAGTTAAAATGGCTGCCTCCTTGCTGGCAGAAGCTGCTCATTCGTTTCCTGGACCCTCTGACCCAAAATAATCACACCAAAACTATATTATTTGCAATACTGTTTTGGCCAATAGCTTAAGCATATTTTTAGCTAGCTCTTATATCCTAAACTAACCCATTTCCATTATTCTGTGTATGGCTATGGGGCTGTGGCTTAGTGGCAAAGTTCCAGAGTGTCTGTCTCCTGTGGGCAGCTACATGCCTACTTCTGATTCTGCCTACTCTCTCTCTCTATCTCTTTCAGCCTGGCTTTACTCTGTTAAGCCATTGACCGAAAGCAGCTTCTTTATTCATTTATTTATTTATTTATTTATTATGTATACAGTATTCTTTCTGCGTGTATGCCTGAAGAGGGCACCAGACCTCATTTCAGATGGTTGTGAGCCACCATGTGGTTGCTGGGAATTGAACTCAGGACCTTTGGAAGAGCAGGCAATGCTCTTAACCGCTGAGCCATCTCTCCAGCCCCAGCTTCTTTATTCATTAACCAATAAAAGCAACACATATACAGAAGGACTTCCCACACCACTTTCTGACTGTGGCAGAAATGAACAGCAGCAAATGACCCTACAAGTGTAATACTTAAGAAAATAAAAATCAGAAGTCTGGATTAGAGTAGGCTAGGATGCCATGGCAAAGGAGATAGAAGATGGAAGAAAAGGGGAAGGGTGATTTGTCCTGATGGGACAAAGGAGTGCCTCTGGACAGAGGGAGACAGATGTGGCACATAGGCAAATAGTGGTTTATAAAGATAAAATGGGAAACCCTGTGTTAAGATGAGGTATTTAATTTTAATTGGACATGTTAAACAGGTGAGCCAAAGAGGGCTTTTGGTTGCTGGAATTGGTAGCCAGCTTCAGGAGGAGGAAGTGGCCGCATAAGTGTGTAGAGCTTGGTGAGTAGTAGTAGGAATGCCATCAAATGGTTTTTTGGGGGTGTAGAGGGAAAGGGAAAAGGGCAAGGACTTCCCGAGTCATGTGAATGCGCGCTCAGCCTCTGTAAGTTTGAGCTGGCCTCCTCATAGACTGTTAAATCACAGAAATAACCGAGGAATGGTGGAGTTTGTTTCTTCTTCCTCAACACCAGAAACACAAAGGAGAAGGCAAAAAATGGTCTAACACCACTCTAAAGAGTATGTAGGCACCACCAATCTTGAATTCAAGATTGGAGGAGATGTGTTTAACGTCTTGGTCCTTTTTACCCAGTATTCATACTGCTTGGTAGGCAAGAGCAGTCTGGATGACCTGTGTTGCATGGTAGGCTAGGTCATGGGCAACAAAGTTTTGAATTCCTCCCATCCCTATAAAATGTGTGATTTTTTTTTTAGTATACATCTGCCCTGACCTACGATGCTGTCCAAGTGATGACCGAAGCATTCCGCAACCTTCGGAAGCAGAGGATTGAAATCTCCCGGAGAGGCAATGCAGGGGATTGTTTGGCCAACCCAGCTGTGCCTTGGGGACAAGGTGTAGAAATAGAAAGGGCCCTCAAACAGGTCAGTTTCACAGAATAGGCGCGAATGTGACAGCACACAGTCATTAAGGTGGTTTCTGTACGACTTTTGTTTTTTTTGTTTTTGTTTTGCCAAAACATATAAGTTACCTTTGTTTTATTCCTTATGTTGAATATACAGGCCATGTTGTCTCCTCAGAAGACAAAGGTAGGGTAAAGAGTAGACAGATTGGTTACCCTGCACTTTAGTCCGTATAACCAACTATGATTGGGTGCATATCATGTTTGTTGTTCTGGGTCTGGGTTACCTCATGCAGAATGATTTTTTTCTAGTTCCATCCATATGCCTGAAAATTTCATGAAGTCATCATTTTTTACAGCTGAGTAGTATTCCATTGCATAGGGTGAAATAAGAAGAAGCTAGATAGCAAGGAGTCACAAGGAAGGATATGAATTTCCCTGGGAACAGGAAGGAGAAAAGATCTCCTGGGTACACTATGGGTGGGGGTTGAGAGGATGGAGACATGGGAGCTAGAAAGAGCAGACTTCTGTGGGAAGTCTGTTGGAGGCAGGATGGTGGGGGAGAGTAACAAAAGAGATGTCTTAATGGGGGAGTATTGGGGAATAGGGAGAAACCTGGTGCCAGGGAAGCCCCCAAGAGCCCACAGCAATGACCCCAACTAAGACTCCTAGCAATAGTATAAAGAATGCATGAATTGGCCATCTTATGTAAGCAGATTGGTGACTTCCCTAATTGCCATCAGAGATACTCTATCCAATCACTGATAGAAGCAGAGGCAGAGATCCACAGACAATTACTGCGCTGTCTTGTGGAAGAAAAAGAGGGAGGATTGTACCAGCCAGGGGTGTCATGATGGGGGAACCCACGGAGAAAGCGGACCTGAGTTCCTGAGAGCTCGTAGACACTTGACCAACAGTCTGGGAACCTATATGGGAACCTACATGGGAACAACCTAGGCCAAACTCTGCATGTGTGTGACAATTCATTTGGTTTCTTAGTAAGGCTTCTTACAATCAGAGTAGGGCCTCTCCCTGGTGCTCAGCTGGCTATTGGTAACCTGTTCCCCATGTTGGATTACCTGGTTTCATTTAATGTAAGAGGAGGAGCTAAGACTCAGGTAGATGTACCAAGCTTTGTGCAAGCCCATAGGAGGTCTGCCTCTTTCTAAATGATAATGGAGGGAGAAAATTTGTGGAGGAGAGTAGATGGGAAAGGGGAGAAAAGCAAAGGTATGGAAGGGGAGGAGGGAGTGGGGGTTGGTAAGTAAAATAAATGAAAAACATGTTTTTTAAATAATAAACTTAAACACACACACAGAGTAAACAGTAACCTGTTCAGGTCAGTGTGAGCAATCTTCCCAGTTAGCATCTTGAATTTAATAAATTTATAACTGTGTTCTATTTCCATTTCATCCTTAGGTTCAAGTTGAAGGTCTCTCTGGAAATATAAAGTTTGACCAGAATGGAAAAAGAATAAACTACACGATTAATATCATGGAGCTCAAAACAAACGGGCCCCGGAAGGTAAGACTTTAAGGATTTAAAGTGGGGTCTCTCTTTGAAGAGGCAGATTCCATCGTGAGCATTTTCCACTTTTGGCTTCAGAAAGCATGTGCATGAAGACAGTGATGAGCCGCTTCTAGAAACAAATTCCAGTTCTGAGATTTGTTTTGAATCAAATCAACTCATTTTTCACAAGTGATAGTAATAATTAATCTAAAATGGTACCTATATGCAGAAGTGATACATGCTTTTTCAACTTTGATAAGAAGACTTTAATTATAAGATAGAAAAGGACTGCTAAAGATGTAGCACAATTAGATCAAATAAATAGTGGTATAAGCATGTATTAATCTGTTTAATTCAAAATCTTGCCTTAAAGTAGTCTGGCTAAATTGTCACCGTTTGGGATATATTTACATATATAAATTATTACCTCACCAACCAAATTCTCCAGTAAATGTGAAAAGTGAGCCAGGTGCACTGGCACATGACTTTAATCTCTGAACTACAGAAGCTGAGGCAGGGGATTGTGAGTTGAACGCAAGTTGAGCTGTATAGTGAGTTCTAGATAAACTAGGGATACCTAACAAGCTATTGAGTCAAATAAACAAAAATAAACAAACAAATAATAAAATAGAAAGATTCCATCCAATTTTAAGAATTACCTCTTTTTTTTTGGAATTTCATTTCCAACCAGATGCATGTTCATGAAGGTAAAGCTGTTGCTGGTCCTTAGAAGTCTGTGTAAGGTGGGCGTTGTTTTGGATGCAGACATGGGTTTTTAAAGTGTCAAGTGTTTTCCATGAAGCCAGGCCACTTCTCATCATTGTTCCTCAACTGTGACCTTTTCCAGATTGGGTACTGGAGTGAAGTGGATAAAATGGTTGTCACCCTAACAGAACTCCCTTCTGGAAATGACACATCTGGGCTTGAAAACAAAACTGTGGTGGTCACCACAATCTTGGTAATTAATCGCACATTCCTAGGTTGGGCTGCATGTTTTCTTATTCTAAGTATCTACTTGGAGACTTGATGTTTAGGCTTTAGAATAGGAAGATCACCAAACAGCTTTTACAATGCTTAATTCATTGCTTACTTGTCATTGTGTCCCTTACTGCATGCTTACCTACTCTAAGGGTCATACCCAGGCTGAGTTGAAGCAGGTAGAATGTTCTCATCCTCTAGGAGGCTGGAGTCTAGCTTGATAGATAACTGATACCCTGCTGTAGACACTAGTGAACAGCAGAGCAAAGTCTTGTTCGCTCTTTACACATCCTTTCAAATCTCACCCACCTCTGGTTCATCTCCACCCTCCCCCCAGTTTAGTAATATGATCTAATAATGATGCTAATAATGTTGCTAAGCCCTCTTTATACACAATGAAAGGCAAGTGTGATCTCCTTTATACCAATCATTTGAACACAGTGGTAGCCATGTGCCCTGTTCCAAATACATAACTATTGAAAGAAGGAGGCAAAGCTTGCCTGGATGTGTGGATCATGAAGACACAATGCCAAGCAAGGGGTGGGGAGGAGGTGAAATTTGTTAGGGTATGTGGTTTTGTGATAAGATGGTTTGGCACTTTTACTTAGTAATGAGGTTATAAATTGGTGGATTCATTTTCCTAACAACATGAGATGAAAATATCAAGACACTTATAAGAGATTTAGATAAAACATTAGTGGCACCTGGAATTCTCTTCATGAGTGTGAGTTAGACATTTGGGAATTCTCACCCTCATCATGCTATTGAAAGGAACCACTAACTCAATTAGATTTATATTCTGTAACACTCCAAAATGAACAACATTAGATTTGCTGAATAATTTCATCATACTTCCTCTCTCATGGGTTTCTAGAGAGAGAGCTTCTATAACTATACATGTATCACTATTCTAGCGTATTACATCTCTTAGATGAAGTGAGACACAAAACTCTCAGGAATAGAATCAGTTTGTTGCCATGACAATGACCATTTTCAGTTTATGGATCATTGTACATGCAGCTTTTTCCTACATGATGTTTGTACTTGGAGTAGCAGTAACACAGATCTTGCCTGAACTCAATAGGGTAAGGAAGACTCAAAGGTAGTAGCTGTTGAGCAAAAATTTCCCTCTCTTGTGCTTAAGGATTACAAATAAAATGAGAGGCTATGCCAAGAGCTTTTATGTATCTTACTCAAATATGATTAGACATAAGCCATTTTAATGACCAATAATAGAGAGATTTGAGGAGGTTGATTGTAGAAGCACTATGCCTATATATTGTTATTTCAATGTCTGTCATATTATCTATATCTAACATATGCCTAGGTACAATAAGTAATTATTAAGCTATGGGTTTGATGTAATAGCAGTATGTAAATCATGATGATAATCAGTTGAACATATTGTCTTTCCTTACAGGAATCACCATATGTTATGATGAAGAAAAATCATGAAATGCTTGAGGGGAATGAGCGTTATGAGGGCTACTGTGTTGACTTAGCTGCAGAAATTGCCAAACATTGTGGGTTCAAGTACAAGTTGACTATTGTTGGGGATGGCAAGTATGGGGCCAGGGATGCAGACACCAAAATTTGGAATGGTATGGTTGGAGAGCTTGTGTATGGGGTAAGTATATATCTCTTTAAAGCTAAAGTAATTCAGTTTGAACCACTGTTGAGAGAATGGTCATTTTATTTTAAAATAGCCATTTATCAGTTTTTGGCATTCCATGATGCTCTAGAAAACAACTGTTTTATTTATTTGATAAAACTTGAAAGGTTGAAACAAAAACAAGAAGCAAACTTGAAAATTAACTGAAACATGCATTGACCAGTCTTTAAGCACATATGTTATCCCCAAACTTCAAGTGTATATCACAGGAAATGTGTAAGGACCTTATCTAAGCCAGATAGGTCAACGATTTATCTATCGTAGTAGGTGAATATATACATGGCCCTCTTTCTTATTCTTTAGCACCAGAGCCATAATTACTGCCACTCTTGAATTTCCATCCCAAGTTTTAAACATGTGTCTTTCTTAACAATAATGGTGGGTCCTGTTATTTTCCTTTCTTTCCTTCACAGAAAGCTGACATTGCAATTGCTCCGTTAACTATCACCCTTGTGAGAGAAGAGGTGATTGACTTCTCCAAGCCCTTCATGAGTCTTGGAATCTCTATCATGATCAAGAAGCCTCAGAAGTCCAAACCAGGAGTGTTTTCCTTTCTTGATCCTTTAGCCTATGAGATCTGGATGTGCATAGTGTTTGCCTACATTGGGGTCAGTGTAGTTTTATTCCTGGTCAGCAGATTTAGCCCCTACGAGTGGCACACTGAGGAGTTTGAAGATGGAAGAGAAACACAAAGTAGTGAATCAACTAATGAATTTGGGATTTTTAATAGTCTCTGGTTTTCCCTGGGTGCCTTTATGCAGCAAGGATGCGATATTTCGCCAAGGTTGGTCACTCGCCTGCTTCAACTTTGTGCATTTTAGGTCTCAGGTGGATGTCCATGGTGTTTATGAGTTCACTATGAAGATGTCTCCAGCTGCCGACTGCTTGTCCAAGCATCTTAAGATGGTTAGAGGACAAACTTGTACCATCGGCGTAAGCCTGTGAAATACCTGAACAACGTTCTTTGAATGTTGGCCCGGTGTTTCCCTGGTGAAATTGTACACACCATGGAGAGGCTGTAAAATGCATAAGGTTCCCATCATTCCATGCCTGCTTGGAGGGGTACCGTGTTTTTGCTGCATATTCTCATTTTACAGTCATCTGTGTGTTGATCCACAGACCTGTATATGGGAAAATGGGCGATGTTAGCTATTTCCGAGTCAACAGCTTGTTAGGCAACACTTCATTTGAACATACTTCATCTCTTTATTTTCCTATTATCATCAGTTCATGAAAACGGTGTGAGAGAGAGATTATTAAACTTTTTGAATATTAGGTTTCTGTGTATAGCGATTGATCATACATTTTCAGGTATCTAAAAATGCAGACAGAAAACCAATGACTTTGCTGCAGATGTCTATTAAATGGTACCACTCACACATCAGAGATTCCCATCAGGATACGGTCATCTCAGACTAAAGTGGCTAATTATCATATATCTGTCACAATTCACCAATTGCTTTTGTTTATGTTACAACACGCATGATAAGTACCCGTGTCTCTTCAGAGAAATAAATCCTACTTCTGCTAGTGTGGTATCATTAACATTTAAAGCCAGGATGTTATTTGTCTTCTGGGGCAGTTCAATTTGAGGTAGATAGCATCCTTTGATTCCAAGGGTAAATCTTTACTAGTAAAGGGAGTGACTTTTTTTTTATGAGAATTCATTCAAATATTAGTTTTTAGTATTTAGTAGATTACAAGCAATTTCAAAATGAATATAAACATCTTTAAAATTCATAGCTTTCTGAGTGTTAAAGTATCTTTTTCTGGCTGAAAAGAAGGAAATGTATCCCCTAGGCAGAAATTATTAAACAACTGATCTCTGATAGTCAGTAGCTATAATGGTAGTGTATTATAAAAGTTCCATTAAAAAGAAAAAAAAACAAATAAAGTAAGTATTTATAAAGACAAATCTTAGCTCCACATTCACAGTGGATTATATTTAGGTCTTCCATGAATTAGAAATGGTCTAAATAAATTTTCATGGAATGCACAAAGGAGTATATGGTCCTAAGTACAGAGTTAAACTCTGACAGCACATAGAAGGGTTGTCGTCTCTATATTAGTTATCCGACTTAGAGTTGTGATGATCAGTTTCTAAGAATAAGGAAGAAAAAATAACAAAACTGAAAACTCAGAGGACAATCTGGTCCATAGAACAGCAGCTTTAATGGCTGAGCTTGGGTAAAACTATTGAATCGTGGTCACTAATTGTAAGTAAAGGCAGCTGAGCTTGCCTGGCACACGTTCTGCTCTGCCTTTCGGGTAAGCAGAAGTGTGTGGGGGTTTGTAATGAAGTGGGTACTGTCCTGTGTTCCCAGAGATGGACTGGGCCTGGGAGCTTCCCACCTCCCACTCACAGCATGCACCACAGATGCTTTGCTATCTAGTATCTGCTAAGCATCAGAAAATCTTTTGTGTTTGTGGCTGGAATGGAAGGCACACTTATTCTAGAACATTCCAGGGTCCACTATGGCATTCAGACAGTTTCTCTCTCTCTCATTTTTTTTATTAAGCTTGCTTCTGAAATAGTATATTTTCTTTTGTGCTTTGATTTTATTCTTGAGTCTCACTACAGTTCTCACTCAAGGACATTCATTTCTTAGAAAGAAACTTCGGTTTTCAGTTAGGGTATTTCCTTTATTGGTATATTTTTATTTCAGAATATTTAGATATAACACCTATACTAAAAATATACTTATCTTTCTGCTTATTTTCTGTATATGCACTTAAAACTGAGCCTAGAACATAGCACTGACCAATTTAATGATTGTTTTAATAAAAGAATGAAGTGCACTCCTTTGTCTTAGAATGCAGTTATGGCCGCTGCACAGCAGAGCAATAGAATGGGTTGCTGTCTTACAAAGAGCTGAAAATGAACAGAGCCCTTAGAAACTCCTTTGATAAACTTTGGAAATGCGTCACCCTTTCCAGGTGAAATCTGTTGAGGAACTCCGTTAAGAACGCTGAGAGGGTGCAATTGAAGTGCAGTCTAGGACAATTTGTGGAAACCAGTGACTATAACTTGCCTGAAATTAAAAAACAAAAGAAGAAAGGAAGTTGGTTTGAGGCCTCTTCACTATGAGACATGTTTTTAAAACATAGGCATTAGAAAAGCAATGTGCAAAATGATCAGTGGTATTCTTCAGGCTGCTTTTTTTTTACATCCACAATATCTCTCCATGTAAATCATATGCCATTGAAACATCATTATCTGATGTGTATTTAGAAGACATGACAGTGTCTCTGCTTTCCCCTTCTTCAGCATCTGCTACAGAAAGTAAAAAAAAAATCTCTATTTTTGATGATGGCAACTTTTGTTACAAATCAAAATCAAGTTTTCTCCTCTTAATAAATTTCTCCAGAACTCTCAGAAAAATTAATTTCTGCCTTTAAAATAAAGATAAGTGATAAAATCTAAAAATATGTTCTATGTCTTACAATTAATATATTTAAAGTAACAGTGAAATATTTTATCTTAATAATATTTTTAAGCACTGAAATAAAAGCAAAGTGATAGGTAGTTTTTATTTTTTAACTAGAATAGAATAACATATAAGCACAATTCTTAATCAGGTAGGAGATATTGCACAGTGTCAAATGCATTAAAAAAAAAACAACCTTAGTGTTAAGGGATGCAAGCAGCCATGTTCTGAGTTTGTCCTCAGAGTTCAAGATGTGTGTACCCTATAATTATCCTGCAACATAGAAAGACAGGATGCATTGAAAGATGACTGTGTCCATATCGGGGCTTTCCAGAACCAATATTTATAAAACATTTGATTTAGAGTCCATGTGAGAAATATTTAAAACTTTCTTTTCTAACATGTTAATTTAAATATTCACATTTTATAGTGACTTTGGCTTGGAGGTAAATTACACTTTTTCAGTTTTTCATTTAAAGCAACAAATGGCCTAAACCTTACGGTTTTTGAAATTAGCTAGTTCTTTTGTATTGAACAAGTGGTCTATTCTACTAAAATCACCAGAAATTTATCTTATATCTATTTATCAAAGGCTGCATTACTTAATGCTAATAGTCAATAAATTTGATTCTGCCATTAAATTGACCAACTTTCATGTTTTAACAATCTAGAAATGCTGCTACTTCAAATTTCTCAATTATATGCCAAATCCCATAAAATTTAAAATAACACAGCAGATGTTTGTTGGTATCTACATAACTTCATTCATCTCCTTCAATATTTAAAGAAAAACATTGGCAATCTATTAAGATTTTTAAAAACATCCTGTGTATTTATAGTCAGACAGATGATGCCATCTTCTTGTACTTCACATTAGGAATTTAGATCTTTTAAATTTTAAACATCTAATTTGTTTTCTTTTGAGTTTTCTTTCTCTCTCAAGCAGGAAACACAAAGGAACAGGGTCAGAGCAGTCCACACCGTGAAGGCATCTGATTTACTCATTAAGAATTATGTTTTACATTCAGTGTCATTTCATTTTCCATTCCTCTCCGGTGCTGTATCAAGCACACGATCTTCACACCCCAAAACCTGATGTTTTGACGGAGCTGAGCTTGTTTGTGGGGTGGGGGTCAGCTGCATTAAGGGGAGAGTGTATTTTATGTTGAAAGCTTTATTAATGCTACACAATTTAGTAATACTTGTTTTGTTATTAACTTTAATGTTGTTCTAAGGTTCTTCTGTTTGTGTTTGCATCCTAAGTAGACAAAGTATTATGTATATTAGATGAGACATTTGTACATCCTGAAGTTACTTTCTTGTGAAATTTTACACCATTAATTACTTGGGTCTATAATTATGGGAAGATCCCAAGAATAGTGTAGGTCTCAGATCTCAATCTTATTACTCTGTACTTCTAGTCCCAAATTGTTAGTAGTTCCTAGTTTCTTGAGCTAAAATATATATTGCAAAGTATAAAGTGAACTATTCTGTAAGCGGTTATTTGCATATGAATGTTAACTTGTTTTTATATTAGATATTTCATTTCACTTTACGAATCCATTTCATACTTGTTATCAGATCCCTCTCTGGGCGCATTGTTGGAGGTGTGTGGTGGTTCTTTACCCTGATCATAATCTCCTCCTACACGGCTAACTTAGCTGCCTTCCTGACCGTAGAGAGGATGGTGTCTCCCATTGAAAGTGCCGAGGATCTGTCTAAGCAAACAGAAATTGCTTATGGAACATTAGACTCTGGCTCCACTAAAGAGTTTTTCAGGGTAAGAGATTCTGCTTTCTTAGTGTCTGTGTTGCTTGTTTGCTTTCTGTAAATTTAATCCCTATAAATTAGCCTCCCTCTTCTTCCCATGGTCCATGAAAGGGTGCTGTGTGGAAAGAACCAGCTGTCTCTGTTGACTTTGATCTTGGTTTGTTTCTATCTCAGATTGTCTCGATGTCCAACTGTTGCTGTGCTTCCACACTTTTTTACTCTTAGTTCCTCAGAAGAAATAATATTGTTATGCAATCTTAATTTTCTAGAAACTGATTGACTTTCCTTGAAAACAAAATTGAAACAAATGCAGTTTAGGTTATTACTATTCTCTAAGGAAAGGGTGCCGCAGCTTTCTTTCATGTTATATAAGCCTGAGTTTGGTGGAGACAGTTGCAGGCTGAGCTTTAGGGGAGACAGATGGAGTCTGGAGATGCAGCTGGGGCAGAATCCTCCTTTTGGCCTGAGCATTGGTAGCGGTAAAAGAACTCTCTAGTGGCTGGCCTCTATGCTACTCTGATCTTCAGCATTAACCCCTATATCTGACTCTGGGTTTTTATTATTAAGACCAATTAAAGTTTTTGCTCCACATGACCCTATCCACATTTGATTATATGAAGTTAAAGCATCAGTTGGGGTTGAAATGTGATCAGGTCCTTGCTGTGTCTTTTATGGTAGCTCCAGAAGGAACTAGAAAGAGCCTTGGCTGGATCTCAGTGCACACAGCATTGTATGAGTTCTTAGTGAGAGAAAGAAACTGTGTGGCAGACTATTTACAAGCTGCTACTTACTGTGTTCCTGTCAGGAGAGGGAATTTAAGATAAATATACCACCAAATATAAAAGCACTATGACTTTCATTGAAATGCATGACATGTTTGTGATTTGATATGTATTGTTCTCAAAGGCTCACCTCTCCAAGTCAGATTAAATCAAAGTCTATGATTAGTTTTTGACACACTTGCCACTTGCATTAATATTTAATAAAGGGGTTATACGATGTAATACTAGAATGGTTTCCTTCTGTGTCTACTCCTGTGTTTTTTTCTAGGATATTGTAAATCTTTAGCTCAACCTTGGTATACCATTCCTCCTCACATAGTTCAGTGTAAGGGAATTCAGTCCTAGATCCCCTTTAAGAAAGGAACTCCAACCTAATGAGTGTTATGCTAAATGTAGTGAGCAAAACATATATTTAGAGAGCTTAAAGATAAAGTATTTGTTCTGTCACCAATTCCCCAAGAATTCTCACTCTATTATCTGAGTGTAGTTGAAATTTTATATTGCTGGAAAGGAGAGAGGATGCAAAGGGATGCTTGCTAACCATCCTGAGATTAATGTTCACCACACATTTGTTCTATGGTCTTCTTCAACTGTCTTTTAGCTCTAGGTATTTTGGATCTTCATGTAAGGTACACTCTAGGCAGGTTGAAAGCTAGCCAATTTGATTGTCATGGTGGCCAGCTTTCCAGGAAGAGGAAATGGAGGAAGTGGGTTGAAGGTGTGCTCATGTGTTTTGTTTTTCGGCCACCTGATTTTTGACTACCTGATCGAAGAACCGGTGAACCATTCTAATGTTATTACATCCCCTACTACAACATAATTTCATTGTGTTGCTAGGCTTTCCTTTGTCTGTTATTTTAAAACTTTGAATTTTATTAATTCCACTAGAGCATCTATGAGTAACAACATCATTTTTCTGTTGTAACAATAGCAAGCTTTGAATTCAGGTTTGGGGAAAACAATTTGAGAAATTAGGACACTGTCCAAATCAAATAACAGCTGAAAAAAATGAATAAAACTTAGAACACATAGAGATGAATGTCTGTTTCTAAAATCCAAGTTGGATTTCTTACAAATGAATCTAATTTTAATTATCAGTTTCATTAAATAACGTTGTTAATGTAAATGTTACTTACATTGAATTTCTAGCTTATAGTAATCTCTTTTGTTCTACAGTGATATTAGCTGTTTCAAAGCCTAGAGTACTTTCAGAGTTCCGGTAAATAAGTTAATATTAAATTAAGTTATGTGAATATTACTTTACTGAAATTGGTGAGTCCATATAGATTTTGAAGCGTGGTGTGAGCTCTAAATTCTCTAATTTAAGATGTGTGTTTCTCCTCAGTGCTGATCAATATTTGTTGCAAGAAAGGGAAAGTAGAATGCAATGTTGAAAAGTCTGAGAGATTTGGGGCTATAAGTGGCCTCTACATATCTACAGCTTTCTCTTTAAGGACTCTGTTACACTGCTATGACCTGCCATAGGCTTGCTAATCGTATTTAATTAGAGTGCCACTGTAGTGTTCCTATAATTAGGAGGGAATTAGGATTTCAAATATAAACTACTATTTTTAGAGTTTCAATTTTGATCATTTCCCCTCATTAAAATAGGGCAGATCATAGTTCTTTAATTTTGTTTAGAAAATGATTTTTTTTTTTTTTTTTTTTTTTTTTTTTTTTTACAAAACCTGAGTTTGCTACGTTCCCAGAGCAAGTTAGAATCTAGAGAGGCAATGGCATTCCCTGTGAGCCCGCGACAGGTCTGTTGGTCCACGAAGGACAATGATTGACTTTCAGAAGGGGAGTGGGAGTTTCTTCCTGTGTGTTCTTAGTCCTTCTCACTGTCATCGGTCCATTTCTTCCAGTTGTCGCCTCTGGGAGGACAGGGCACACCGTGTACTCTCTGACCAAGTGTTATGTGTTAGTGCTGTTAGTGCCGGGAAGAAAAACATTGCCAAATCCTTGTTAGAGCAAAGACTCTTCCTCTCTTCTGGAAGGAGTCTAATTCCTCTCATTTGCAGATAGGACAATTGTTCTGATCTTAGTGCATTAAGCTGCAGTGTTGTTGCTCAACATCATAGACGTTCTGTATACTAGAATCAGCATAAGTGTCAGCTACATAGAATCAATGCAATTGTTCCTTGCTAGAAAGATAGAGTTAGTTTGAAACTTTACTGCTTTTATAGGTGTGTGTGTGTGTGTGTGTGTGTGTGTGTGTGTCTGTGAGTGTGTTCATTTCACAAATCAATAGTCATGGTTACCAGAGGGTTACAATAACTGAGATTATCCTTAAGGGTGAAATGTTTTGTCATGAATGGCATTGAATACACATGTCTGGACTTGGGAAGTATATGTCTTTAATCTCAGCTATTTGGAAAAGGGAAAGCAAAGAGTCACAAATCTGAGGTCTACCTTGACTACAGAATGAGTTCAAAACCAGCCCAGAACACTTAGGTCTCCCTAATTTTTAATTTTAACAGGATTCAAAATGAAAGTGTGCAAGAAGGGTCACCTTTTAGGAGTATCTCTGAAGCAGAAGCAGAACTCTTGCCTAACACACACAAGGTCCTCATTAACAGCCCTGAGCCAATAAAACACGCAATATGATCACAGATGAAAGTGTTCTAGTCATTACAAGCTAGCTTACTTACAGGATGGTAAGGACTGTTTCAGTAATGTTAGAATCCTTGCATCTGCTGATTGCGTGTAGCAAAGACACATTATAAGTCCTTGATTCCCAATGACACGACACACAGAAAAGAGATTTCACTAGTTTGTAAACCCTCCTTTTTTCTATTATTTTCAGTACTTCCAATGATTTCTGTGCTACAATTACAAAGGTCACCAGTGTTCGTAAGGCAGAAATAAGTATCTGTTGATTTTAGCATAGCAACCGTACATATGTACAGCTTTCAAGTGTTGCAGAAATTTAGAGTGGCCATATATGTATTTCTATATATGTAGGATGTTACTCACACAAGAAGAGATTCTTTTTGGTCCTTCACACATGTGTAAATAGCATCTACGATTGTAGCCATTAAATAAATCCTGAACATGAATACATAGCAAAGAATAGCACAGTAAACACGGTGATGATATTCATGCATGGTTAGCCATATCTATTACTTATTTCTCTTATTTCATGTTATATAGATTGATTACATGCCTGCACCATTTCTAGATGACAAGGTGAAGTCATTTCCTCCTGGTTGGCAACCTTCCTTTCTCTGACATTTTAATTTTCTCACTATTGTGCAGAGCATCTGAGGAAGCGTTTTATTCATCTGCAGGCTTTAAGGACATAGGTAGCCTGTAAGGAGCTGGTTCTGCCACCTCTGTTCAGTTCTACCTGATTAGAACACTGCAGAAAAGGTCAAAATTTAGGAGGCTTTGGCATTGGCTCCTTTCAAAGTTATTGCCCTGCTTAGTGACCATGTATCTCATGCAGTGGTTCTCAAAGTTCACAAGAAAAGAAGTCTAAAGATGTGGACAGGAGGCTCTTAAGTCATAAGACTTCAGTGTTCCAATAGTGAGAAGGGACTACATTTTATTACTGAATTATGATTATTGGTGCCTTTTTTCACGGTAAATAGGTTATCTTTGTCCCACAGGTATTTTCCACAAATGTCACTGGTCTCCAACTTTCTGGCTGGGTCATTTAAAAACTACCCCCTGCCACAGCAGCTGAGGGCTCCGCCATCAGAGCACAGAAAGCTTTTGCCTACAGACCATGCAGAAGCACACACATCATCCACAAAGCACTGGTTTTCACAGTAGCGAATGCAGAGGACAATCTCTCAGGAAAGGTCACAATGATGAAACTATTCAACAATTCCCTCATTTTACAATGCTTAAAACGCCTAGTTTGTGTGCTTCAGAAAGAAGATGAATATTACAGAACAATGCACAAGCATGATTTAGGGTTTGATGTTTTTTTATTACCTTGTTTATAAAGAATCATCTCTCTCTGTTTATAGTAGATATCTTTTCCCCATCAGTTGCCATGACAACAAACATGTCTGAGGGCTCTGGACAGAGGAAAAACAGAATCTTAACATCATTTCAATGATCAGAGTAAAATAAAATTAAATATAATCATTGTTGGTAAATCTAGAAGCTTTTCAATTATAATTATTATATTTTATATATCATATATTTTACATATTATATATATAGTAATTATAATTATAATTACTTGAAGAAAAATATGACACTGAAGTAATTTACA